CATTGAAGAAGACTTTAGCTCCGCCCACTTGGCACAGCCACATCATCTCATGTATCCCTGACAAGTTAATTATCTGAAATTATGACATATTACAGATTTCTTTTTAAACCGCATTTACTCGTGTGGAGATGTACCGTGCAGTTCATGAAGCGTGAAAACTCAGTGTGGTATTTATCATGGGCAATCCAATAACCGTAATCAAAGTTCATAGCAGGGGTCAGAGCACAGGCAGAAAATGTAAAAAAAGGATAATGCATGATCAGAAAGGAAAACACGAACACAGGTCAAAAGCACGAACGAACAGGAAGTCTTGGCTTGGCAGACAATGTAGTGAAACAAACACACAACACGGTATATTAAGGCAAACTAATCAAGGACTTAACACAGAACAGGTGAACACAGTTGGGTAACATACCAATGACAAGTGAAGACAGGACTAGAACAGAAACAAAATCACATGACATGAACTCAAAGCAAAATATGAAATCAGCGTTCATCATGCTGAGACGGGAAATTTGTGTAGGAAAGACAATTCAAAATGAATACAGTGACATTTATTGTGATTATTGTGAATATTGTTTAGAGGTAAAAACCTCTGTTACTAGAAGACCTGGAATTATGAAATTATGAAATGACAATATTCATTCTTAGCCCTATTTAGAAGCTTATTTCAGATAAATTTCTTAAAATGTTGATAATTGTTGGATTAGACTTGGTACTGAAATCTGAATGGCATTAAAACATTTTAACATTTTTACAGTAGTGCATGGTAGCAATCCAAACTAGATTTTTGGACTTAAAACGTATGCAAATGTACACATATTTAATACAATACAAAAAAAGCTTGTAAGAATTTATCAGTCTGCTGGCAAAGACTGATTGTGATATCTATTGTTTATTTTGTTTTTTTTAAAACGACTCTCCTGTAGTGTCTTGCCATGATATGTTCCATTTGGTGTACCAGTAGTCCCAGATTATGAATTTAAAAGCCATGTTTGCTCTAACAAGTTTCACCCCTGACTGCTAACAGGATGGTTCTAATGCTTTAAGAACCAGTGCTCGAGCTCAGGTACACTCTCACTATGATCTGTGGGCATTAGTAATGCAAATTTGATGTTTTTCTATTTTTATGATGCCCTTTTGACATCAGACTAGCATGGTGTCACGATAGCACTAGCGAAATTGACGTTAATTAACACCAGAAGGAAAAGATGGCAAAATCATATCTCACTAAGTGGCATGTTACAAGCCACCATCTATATCATTGGCCCTCATTTCACAGAGGTTGAGAAGGTTTACAACCTAAAAGATGATGTCTTAATAAAGATGGGGATTTACTCAAGGTGGATGCGAATAAAACACGACGGCTTCACCCCGTCCATAAATAAGATTCTCTGGCTCTCTGCTCAGCCATGCAGTGTGCAGCTTCTAAATCAGAAAGCAGCTCAGGTCCTTCTCCTCCCCCTATCCCTGTTCTTGATCTTGCAGGAGATGCGTCGGCCATAATTTCCTCGCCATCACTCTTCCTGCCCCCGTTCCTTTTTCACCAGCCTCATTATTGCTGGAGAGGCCTCTTGTGTCTTAGTTGTCCGTCAAGCAGCCTGCTTTGATATTCATGTTTTGGGGCCGGCACAATTGGCATGCAGCGAGCGCCAAAAGCCTGAGGTCTTCCACTTCCCATCTAACCACTTGTTCCTCTTGGCCTCCTGCTGTTCCTTTCATCATTATATTTTGCATCAAACAATGGTCACTCATTCCCCTCATGCCCTGCTATTCTCAAAAAAATCCTTGCCTTTATGTGCATACCTTGTACTTCTTTCATTTTTATTTAAAGACATACAAGAGTATCTCCTTGTTTATATTTAGTCCACTGATTTTGGCAGTTTGCAGAAGATTTAGAGATTCAACTGGTATCCAAAGTTTTCTTTTCTGAATTGAAAATGAAAATGGGAACTCCAGACAGGACTTTGTCTGGATCTGCTGGCCATCCTCGCAATGCTAACAAGCCTGAAAAGAGAACACGAGTCTGTCCTTAAATAAAATGTACCTCAACTGTCGTGTCTGTCCAAATCTCAAAATCTCTTTACCCTCAGGTCTGTGCTGTGAGGATCAGCCAGATCTCTGAGTTTCAACTGAATGAATCAATTGCCAGGTACACGGTTAGTGCACACTAGGGGTGTAACACTGTCTGCGGTCTGTGACTGTATCTATTTAATGATGAGCCCCCAGTGACATTCCTACTTAAATAAATAATGCGTGGCCATGACATAGTAAGGCATCGCACCAACATCATAAGTCAAGGGAACAAGATAATTAAGTGCAGCCACATATTAATAAGGTGTGATCATTGTGTTGTTCCCCTCTGGTGTTTATGTATATACGGGGTTTTATGGAAACAATCATACACATGGGGGAAAAGCTGTAGCTCGTCTGCTTTAGTTAAGATATAGACACTGTAGAATTTTACATGCACAATTTATTATTAATTATGCATAATTTTGCGTAGGTTTGTTCAGTCAAAACAATCAATTTTTATGTAAATTGATTTGTTTAGGCAGGTGAGAACACAGCAGTCGCACACGAGGGCAGAACTAAACTGCTGGTTTTGGCAGTTGGAGCTTATGAGAGAGGTAATCTCAGTCTTGTTTCAAGTGAACTGTGGTCTGGATCATTTTGCAGTGAGAAAAAGATTTGAATCAACCCAAATACAGGAAGTGAACCAAACATGCTGTATTTTGAGTACGTGCAGCATTTGATTTTGTAGATGTGAGCTGCTGAACTGACCCACGAGGCTCAAAGTGAGCCAAAGGACAGTGCTGTAGTGCTGCAGAAATGCCATGGGTTCTGGAAATTAGGATTGCTGAACAACGGTGATAAATGTTGGATGCAACACACAAAACTAGCTATTTATATAATTATCTAGTCATCTATTTTTGTGCTGATGACTGTTGTGATTTCTGTGAACTTGGGAAATGATTGTTTACCTTTTTTCTGTCAATTATTTCTTGTGAATCAAATGAATGAAAGCATCTTTTTCAAGGACATTCGCAGCCCTACACATCCCACTTTAATTATGTGCAGTGTAAAACTGAGCCAAATAGCAGACACACCAAAATATCAACTTCTCTCTGATTTGGACTTGCACAGACTAATAGGTAGGAAAATTGCCTAAGATTTAAAAGTTCCTAGAATTGTAACAGTCAGAAAACGTTCTGCTCACCTAAAATTGCTAGCTGGGTTGGAATATTAAATGTCTTTTAGCACCAATCTTAGGATAATGTACCTTCCCATAAGTTCCAGATAAGCACACCTAGCATAAAAAACAAATTGGAAACTGTAGCTTTACTGTATAAGTCACGTAAGAAGCCTGTTGTATACAGTATGTTGTGAAATTACAGTATCTATAATATACCTAGAATACTCTTAAGGGCATGTGTGAAATAATTATTTAAAATCATAAAGGTATTTGATATGATTTGTATAGTCATGATTAGTAATGAATTTAATCTGTACTTGATTTAGACAGGTGGCATGTAAGTAAAGAAAGCTCAGTAGTGTCCTGTCACATCACACATGAGCTATGGTGAGTGATGAGGTTTTGTGTGACTCCTGCTTACTCTCCCCTCTCCATCATTTTGACCAGGTCACAGTTTGTCATGATAGGTCCTGAGTGGTTGATGCAATGTGGCCTTTTGCCTTTTTCTTTCAAAATCTTCTTCCTCGGAATAAAATGCTTTTGCACCCATCCAGTTGACCTTTACGCACACACACACACACACAATTTATTTCATTTGGCCTCTGAAGTGCACGTTTGCTTTGCAGATCCAAGTGCCATTGTGGTGCATATAGTCCCACTGGTCACAAAAAGGGAAGGCTGAATGCTTGTGTTCATAAAGCATATACAAGTCATTTCCCCTTTAAGCACGGTGAAAAGCTCCAGGGACTGTATTTAAATTGGCTGAGAAAGTGTTTTGTTCAATCTAGGCCCCTGGTGAAGGGTTTTAAATCTTCACATCGCCTGACTTTAAAGAATTCATCCTTATCCTTTTTATGGCGTGAAGGCAAGGCCGCTTCTCAAGTGCTTGCTTTCATGGAAAGGTCCAAATAAATTGCACTTACGGATTTCACATCCTTTCGGAGGAAAAAGCCAACAAAAAGAATGAAATTACAGAGTCTCCTCTGCTCTATAAACATTAATGATAACAGCATTCCTGAACCCCAATCGGCTTCTGCGACTTCTGAGAGCGGTGTGTGATGTCCACTAACGACCTGATAAAGTAAGTTTGACTGATTCACCTCCAAGGCCGAGGGATTCGTGATCAATCTTTATTGCTACTGAAGACTAAGTTATCTCGGCTTCACACTCCTAAGCAAGAAGAGCCTATCATGTTGTGTGGAGCACTTAGAGAAGATGGAGTTTTATATCTCTGACACCAGTTGGTCTGCCCTACATCCTCAAGGCTTTTAGAAGTAGGAGGTTTATAGCATGATGGGATGAGTGCTGAAGTATTAGAGATATGGGGAGTGGGTAAGGAATGATATGGAGGGAGCACTTTGCCCCTAGCAAACCAAACATTTGGTAAACAACCAGTCATACCAATACACATTCAGAAGTGCATTTAGCAGGCTCTCGAGTGACGCAACCACTGGGACAGACCTGCCAACCTTAATGCATTTTGCATCTGAGCTATGTACGTTAACATCGGAGTATGCTGCTATGACTCAAAAATACACAAAAAGAGCGCATCCCCCTGTAAAAACGGCAGATGAGCCAGTTGACATATAAATCTGCAATGATTAACAATTGTGTAGGTGTTTTGGACTCTCTGATATTAACTGGCCCCACCCCCTTCGCCCATCTCACGTTAGCAGCCTAATGTTTCAGGCAGTGCTCTCGTCTTCTAAAGATGAATCAAGAATGTTTTCAGTTTATTAACATGAAATAAAAACTTTGTTTGATTTAGCTAACATTAGTCATGTGTACAGTTAACATAAGATGGGGCATGGTGGTTTAGTGGTTAGCACTGCTGCCTTGCACTTTTTGAGTTGGGGGTTCAAATCCCACCTCTGCACTGTGTGTGTGGCATTTGCATGTTCTCCCTGGTTTCCTTCCCCAGTCCAAAGACGTGCTGTAAGCTGACTGGCATTTCCAAATTGCCCATGATGTTTGAGTGTGTGTACAATTGCTCCCTGCGATGGGCTGGCCACCTGTCCATGGCTTCCCCTGTCTTGTGCCCCAAGTTCCCTGGGATAGGCTCCAGGCTCCCCAGCAACCCTGTGTAGGATAAGCACTACAGAGAATGGATGGTTATTTATCAGGGATTAAAAACTCCGTTTGCTCTCCTGCTGGTCTGTACAGGTGCAAAAAAAGAAGTGTGCATTTAAACTTTTCTCCTGTCTACATCTTCACTAACTCAGCAGGAGTTCTTTTTTCCTCAAGCACCTGGTAGTTACCATAAAATCCTGTATATATGCACACTTAGGTTTCTACTGTAGATAAGTGATGTCTGAAAGGACTATATATAGGGCTGGGTGATGTGAGAATAATGTTAATACCGTGATAAATATACCATGGATATCATGATATTTAAAATGTATTTTTTGTCATTACAAATTAACTGGAAACAGCTGTTTTGATGTTAAAAAATTGTATTTGTTCTTTAAAATTGTAGAATGTACTTTTTTACAGGTTTAAATTTTTTGTCTCCTTTTCAGTGTTTATATATATAGTTTTTGTAAATATTAGTTGGTTTGTTAGCAAACCTAGATATGTCATCATGTCATCATACATGTTGTATATTGTAGAAATGTCTTTGAAAATGATGATATGATATTTTTGTCATATTGCCCACCCCTAACTACAGTATTTATAGCCAAATTGCTGACTGTGACAAATTTCCTATTAGTTCTCATGCAATAATGTGGATTCGGCTAGTGAGTTTTCTGAGAGAATCGCTGGTATTGTTCGTACTTACATAACAATTATCATCTGCACTGATGATACAGTAGCAATTACTTTATGTTCACACTAGCTAGTGACAGGTTGCTTGTAGTTTTTGTCCTGTGGGCATGTAGCGACCGATATTGTTGTCGCTTGTGCCTGTGCACTATCCAGTGATAGCTGGATTATAGCTATATATATATATATATATATATATATATATATATATATATATATATATATATATATATATATATATATATA